TGCAGCCCAAGACATGGCGTTCTGTCGCTGGCCCGATATCTGCCCTCTTCTTGTCTGTCAAGCGCATCGGTTGGTCCATGCCCAACTACGCCACTCTCGCCATGCATGACGGCACTTCAGTCTCTCTCACCTTTGTCAGCCCTGCCCTCTTGAAGGACATCCTCAGGCGGGCGGTGGTTAGGGAACTGGAAATGCATGTGGGAAGGAGTTTGGATGTTGGGTGGGATCGTGCTTGTTTCGACATCTGCAAGAGCCAGCTTCGTTCGAAGAAATATTCTGCACTGGAGAAGGGTTCGATCAGGAACCTGTGCTGCGGAGGAGCCTGGACAGCCGACAGAGCCGCAGAGCTGGGCTACCAGCTCAGTGACGAGCAGTTGCTCTGCCCACTATGTCGTGCTCATCCAGACTCTGTGCATCACAGGCTTTATGAGTGCCCAGCGGTGTCTGAGACTCGCAGCGAGCTTATTCCTCCAGAGATCCTTGAGATTGCCCTGGGTCCGCTGTCGGATGGGGATCGCATCCTTTTCGATCGGGGGATCTTTGAGCATCCAGAATCGTTCTGGCCAAAGGCCCTTAGCTCGGGGGGTGGGGTCATCCTGCCAGCTACTGAGGAAGAGGACTTCTCGGAGGCGCTCGCTAATGGGGACCTGCAGGGCAGTATCTATGTTGATGGGAGTTGTTTTTGGCATCCCATCCCAGAACTTTCAAGGGCGGGCTGGGGGGTTTGCATGGTCTCCCCCCAGGGCTCCCTCTTGTGCGCCCTGCATGGCCCTGTGCACCACCCGATCAGCCAGACAGCACCAGCTGGGGAGTATTGTGCCCTCGCCATGGCCGCTCTCCATGTAGTTGCCAATTCAGAGGTTTTTTCTGACTGCCTTGCGGTAGTTAATCATTTCCGCCTGCCCCCCAGCGAACGTGTTTCGTACAGGAGGCGCTATGCTGGCCAGTTCCTGTATATCAATAATGCCCCGTTTGTCCAGTCAGTGGTGAAAGTAAAAGCCCACCAGGACAAGGACGAGGCAGGCATTTCGGATGACGAGAGAATCCGTAGGTTCGGTAACGATTTCGCCGACAAAGCTGCGCAGCGCGGGGCCCGCTCTCACCCCCAACCGTCGCCCGACGAAGAAGAGCGAGTGAACCGCGCTGTCAAGATTAGTAAAGTTGTGTGCCGACTAGCGGCCAAGTTGCTTCCGATGTGGCCACGATTGAACTTGGAGGGTGCTCCGTTTGTCACTCCTTGCCGCACCACCCGAGGTCCCGAGGAGCCCGCGGTCCAGCATCAGTGGCAGTGGCAACACTCTGTGTGGAGGTGCGTTGTGTGCAGGTTAGGCTCTCGTTCTTGTGTAAAGCCGCCTGGTGGATCGTGCATCGGCGAAGCCAGAGCAGATCTGGACATCGCTGACTCTCTTTCGCACAGCGTTGTGATCCTGCCGTGCACGGATGGTTCTGATTTTTATTTCTGCCCCAAGTGCGGGGGATTTATGCATCAAGCTGTGTTTGTCAAGACCGCTTTGTCCAAGGAATGTCCTAACGAGTTGCGCGGCCATGGCCGCACGAATTTTAACAAAGTCATGCTAGGCCGCCACCCAAGGAAGAACTTGGGTGTAGGCCGACCTGAAGAGTTGCCAGCAGGGGCGTTTTCCGCCCTTGCGCCCTCGTCCTCTATGCCCGTCCCCAACTTTTGATTCGGATTGTTCGAAATCATTGGTCTCAGAGCGCCTTCCCTTTCAGGGTTGTGTTTTAGTTTTGTCTCGTCCCCTCTGCGGGGGTCGAGGAGCATCCAGCCCCTCTTGGCGTCGTGTTGCGGCCCAACTGGGTTGCCTCGCTCTGCCATCAGCGCGGAGCGTACGCAGCAGGCTGAGATGTTTTTCCCCTGCTTCCCCCAATGCGGGCGTGGGCGAGGGGGCGCCGCTGTTTCCACGGCACTGCGGGACTGGCAGCCGTTCGGCGTGAGTCCCCCCGCAGTTGCCGTGACGTCAGCGGCGGGGCAGGGCTGGTGGCGTAAGTGGCATGAGGCGCCACCCAGCCCAGCCCCTCCTCTGGGGGGAGGCGCCGTCCCCCCAGAGAGTACGGCTTGGCAGTTGTTGATGTAAAAAAAAAAATCCTCCTGCTTCTCCTCCTCCTCCTCCTCCTCCTCCTCCTCCTCCTCCTCCTCCTCCTCCTCCTCCTCCCCCCGCCCCCTCATGCTCCGGTTGGGTGGGCCAGGCTTGGAGTGGTCTGGGGGAGAACCTCCCGCGCGAAGCTGCTGGTTCGGGACTCGTATGGAGGGAATCGCCATGCGGAGTGAGGAGTCCCGAGGGAACAGCTTGGCATCCTTCGGACGCGTGCCTTCTTCCTCGGCGGGGATCATTGAGGAGCATCCTGCATCATGCTGCGCAAGCAGGACGCACGAAACCGACAAAATGCACGGGAAATGGACCTCCGAGCGATGGCAAGACAGGGGCTTGAGGGGGTTCACCGCCTCCGGCCTCTCGGGCGGAGAGGAGGGCGGAGCCGAGACGGCCGGCCGCGCGCCTGCTCTCCCCTGAGGTCCGACGTTGCAGACCTCTCCTGGCAAAGGACCCAACCCTATGCAGTTGTGATTGCCGCCGCTGTGAAGAGCGCCTTCGGTGGAGCTCCCCACGGGGAAAGGGCGCCCTCGAGGGCGCGAAGTTATTCGCGCTTCGCGCTTCGCGGTTCGGCTCCGATGCCTCCCCGTCCCCCTCTTCTCCCCTGGGAGGCGGCGCGAGAGCGCGAAGTTATTCGCACTTCGCGCTTCGCGGAGCGCGAAGCGCGAAGTTGGGAGCCCTTGACGGGGCCACGAAGCGCGTGAAGGGAACGCCGGAATGAGGCGGGGCCGCCATGCGGGCGCTGCCGCGGCCAAAGTGAGGGGTGTGGCGGCCTGCAAACGCAGCCACCGGCGCCTTCGGTGGATGGGGCCATGACGCGTCTGAGGGGTGTGCCAAAGTGAGGGGTGTGGCGGCATGCGAACGCAGCCACTGGCGCCTTCGGTGTGGCTCCTCCTGGGGCCACGAAACGCGTGAGGGGTGCGCCAAAATAAGGGGGTGGCGGCATGCGAACGCAGCCGCTGTGGCCTTCAGTGGAGCTCCCTATGGGTCCACGAAACGTGTCAGGGGTGTAAGTCAGGAGGGACAAAAACAGTCTATCGGCGGCGAGCGAGGGGGGAGGTGAAAAGTGGCGGGCCTTCTCAGAAGGCTCGGAATTCCCCTGGCCTTCTGAGAAGTTTTCTCAACCTTCCCCGAAGATACCAAAATTTATCAGAAGGCGCGAGGGCTTCTGAGAAGCCCCGCCGCCTTTGAGAAGGCCTTCTCCTTCTCACTTCCCGCCTCGCTCGCCGCCGAGTCCAGGCCTCCAAGATGGGGTCAGAGCAGACGGGGTCGGAGGATCGCGCCGCGTCGCCGATGCATCGCCGATGCGGCTCGACGTGCAGCCCGATTTGCTTCACGTCGACGTCGCCGATGCATCGCCGACGTTGCCAGTGCATCGTCGGCTCATCGCCGATGCATCGCCGATGCATCGGCGACGCGGCGCGCCAAACAGACGCACAGAGGACGCAAGGGTACACTTGATTTGGCAGGGCGACCTACAAATCAGGGCCGACTGTGAACGTCGATGCTCCAGAGAATAGGGCAGAATGTGGGAAGCGGAGGGGACGACGAGCATCCAGGAAGTATGGAGCATGTGGGGAATCCTGGGAGGCGTGTCCATCTCTCTCTCTCTCTCTGTGTCCCTGGGCGCCTTCCGCAGGGGACGGCGTGCCCGCGGAGCTCCTCCCGCGAGGCCCCCGCGGGAGGCGCGGCGCCCTCCGAGGCCTGCCAGGCCCCTGGCGAGGGCCCCGTCCGAGTGCCGTCGCTGCGGCCGTAGCTGCGCGGCTTCCCCGGCTGCCAGGCGTCGGCGGGGGCGGGCCGCAGGAGTTCGTCGGGGGGGGAAAAGAGGGGGGTGACGACTAGGGGGGGGTGGATATCATGGCGGGGGCCGTGATATTTCCCAGACTTCATGGCGCCTCTTCTTATTTCATGACGTCCCTGGCCCCCCCGCTGGGCCGCGCACATGCCGCCGGTCATGATTTGCACCCCCCCCTCTTGGACACCCCCCTCTTTGCCGCCCCCGAGTTCGCCTCGTGCCCCGCGAACGTACAGTCAATGCGCCCAGTAGGGACGCGAGCCGTCACCCAGGGTGCCCTCGTGTCCATGCTTTTGCGGCCCGTCCTTTGCTGTTTTCACGGGTCGCCCGCCGCCCAGAGAATGTCAGCTTCAGCCTCCAAGGGTTTTGCGTCCTTGCCACCCGTCCCTGGTACACGTTTTGAATGGAAATTGCCGCGGTCTTGAAGAAGAAGAAGTAAGAAGGACAAATAATTATCAGACTGCTAACAATAATAACCACACTGAGGATAAAGCATCAGAATGACAAAAAACAGCGGCGGAAGGAACCGCGGACCTGGAAGAAGCCGCGTGCTGCTCCATCTTGGATCTTCCGAAGCCGTTCGTCCACACGTGAGACCCCTCGTGACCTCACAGCGCCAGCGACCGGCCAGCGCCGCCGCGCCTCGGTGCCTCCGGCGAGCGCGCCGCCGCCGCAGCTTCTCGCACGCCGCCGGGGCACCGCCGCGCGCCCCAGCTCTCCGGGGGCTGCCCCCGGCGGGCCGTTCAACGGCACCGTAACGGGTACTTACTAACGGGTACTTTGATTTTTTGCCGAAAGTTGCCCTTTTAGGGCCTTTTTCTTGCATTGCAGCTTTGCCCACATCGGGAAGGGTTGGCTTCGCTGGGTCACTGGCCAAAGTACCCGTTAGTGGAGTCCCCGTTTGAGGGGCGCTGGGCCGTGGGGGGGGGAGACCCGGCCGGCCTCGCCGCGGCGAGGCCCGCCGCCCGGCCTCTTTCAGGGGAGGAGAAGACACACAGAGACACAATTCATCCTCGATTCCCCAGGAAAATATGGGAAAATATGGGAAGTGTGGGGGGGGGGGAAGACAGAAGCCCAGAAAATATGGGAAAGTGTGGGGAATCTTTTTATTTGTGTGTATTTATTTGTGTGTGTTCGTGGGCCCCTTCACTCTTGCCCTTCGCTGCCCCTCGCTGCCCGCCACGCCCGCCCCGCCCGCCCCCCCGGTCGTGGCGAACCCGAACGTGGACGCCGTGCTCGTGCTCGCGTGCTTCCTCGCGGTCACGGTGTTCGAGCGCCGGAGGAGGGGCAAAGGGGGGGGGCGGGAGCCTCGAGACGGGGGTCAGTGCAAACGGGGGTCAGCCAGGGCACCGGATCCTGCAGGATCCTGCGAAGACCCCCTCTGGCTGACCCGGGTTAGCGAGTCGCTCGTGGCCGCGAGGCGGCCGCGCATATTGGCTGACCCGGGTTTGCGAAGACCTGCGTTGCAGTTTTTTTTTTTCTCCTGCATTGCAGTTTTTGGTTTCCTGCTGACCCGGGTCTGGATTGACCCGGGTCAGAAGATCCCCGAGGGGGGTTCGGCAGCAAGTCGAGGGAGCCTGGTGAACCATTCGTGATTCCGTCTTTGGCGTCGGTTGGCGTCTGGAGTCGACGAGACAGCGCCGATCTAGCGTCGGTCAGCGTCGTCTCAGCGTCGACTCAGCGTCGATTTGGCGTCGATGATAGCGTCGCTTCGCAAGAGCCGACGAGACGAGATGGGAGGCTCTCATGAGTTGCCACCGAATCCGAGGCGGGAATTTGTACATGACCACCGCCTGGAGGATCAATTTCCGGGGACCTCGGCAGGCGGTGGATATGGACGTACTCGGGCGCCCGGGGGGCAACATATATCCACATCCACCGCCCGCTGGGGTACCAGGACGTCGGTTCCCAGGCGGTGGACATGGACAAATCCCCGCCTCGCACCGAAGGGGGGAGGGGGGCAGGCAGGCTCGGGCGTCTCACGTAAAGGGGGCGACGATGGGCGGGGGGGCTCGAGGGGTTGCAGGAGCGGGGGCCCCAGAGGGGCCCCCCCCCCCCGTGGGCCCCGACGACGCGCGAGAGGCGCGCCGCTCTTCGCCCACCGCTCGTTGCCCCCTCCCCCGCCAGCGGAGCAGCAGGGCTCGAGCTGCGCCCCGTGCTCTGGCGACGTCGTGGACCCGCTTCGTTTGCCAGAACAGAAAGGCGGACGCGGAAGACAGCACGAGGGAGACACAACGAAAACCTAACGAGAGCATGACGAACACCAAACCGAGGGAGACATAAACGAAACGAGGGAAGCACATCACGACAACGAGGGAGACACAACGAAAACCTAGCGAGAGCGAAGCGCACCTTCTGGGGGCCGCCCCCTGCAACGAGGGCGGCGCCTGGCGGGCGGGAGCCGACGAGGCGTCCCCGCGGGGGCCCCGCGGCGGCAGCGCAAAGGGTCGGGCACGGAGCGGCGCGCCCTCGGCGCCCCGCGCGGCCGCAGGGGGCCGCTGGCGAGACGGCCGCCGCCCGCGAGGCGCGGAGGCGGCCGGAGGCAGCGGCGAGGCGGCCCATCGGGAGCCTCGAGACGGGGGTCAATGCAGACGGGGGTCATCCAGGGCGCCAGATCCTGCAGGATCCTGCGAAGACCCCCTCTGGCTGACCCGGGTTAGGGAGCCGCTCGTGGCCGCGAGGCGGCCGCGCGTATTGGCTGACCCGGGTTTGCGAAGATCTACGTTGCAATTTTTGTTTTCCTGCATTGCAGTTTTTGGTTTCCTGCTGACCCGGGTCTGGATTGACCCGGGTCAGAAGATCCCCGAGCCCAGCTCGCCCAGATATCGGGCGGAGAGAGCCATGCACAGGCGCCGATCCCGGCAGGGCCCATCCTCGGCCCAGGATCGGTGCAGCGGCCTTCCCGGCCGCGGGCCCGCCGCCCAGAGGCGCGGAGGCGGTCGAGGCAGCGGCGAGGCGTCCCAGCTCGCCCAACTATCGGGCCGGACGAAAGGGGGGGATGGGGAAAGGGGGGGGTACGAAGTCTGCTGCGTGCAGCTGGTTTCGTCCCCGCCGAGGGGCCCACTCCTCGAGACGTGGTCGCCTCCCGGCGCCGGGAGGCGCTGGGAGAGTCAGCTACGTGAGCTGATTCTCAACTCCCTCCTTTGCTATCCCCCCCTTTCGCCCGACCCGACTAGATCGGGCGAGAGAACCATGCACAGGCACCGATCCTGGCAGGGCCCATCCTTGGCCCAGGATCGGTACATCTGTCTGCCCGGCCAAGGCAGGAGGGCGCATGCACCGATCCTGGGCTCAGGATGGGCCTGGCCAGAATCGGTGTATGTGCATAGTTCTTTTTCCTTTACTATAGGCCTACCAAAGAGTGTTCAAATAACCTTTTGCGGTCTCCACGAAAGGTTCTCAGAGCATTTCTGGCTGGGACTGTCTTGTGCTAGCGCATCGGGTTAATGTTCTAAGACCAGTGTTTTTGTTATTAGAACAGTTTCTGGGTTTTAAGAACATTCCGTGGTAGGCCTATAGAACTGTCGGGACGGTCGGTCCTTCCGACGTCTTCCCGTGAGAGCGGGTCTACGGCTGGCTCGAGGAGCCGATCTGGAGGCGGCGCGAGGATGTCAAGGGCGCCCGGTGGCAGTTGCCGCGGCTCGCGGGCAAGGGGTGTCCTCGGAGGGGTTCGCCATGGGGATGGCGTGTCCTGAGGGAAGCTCTAGGCTAAAGTCGGGCATGTCTCTCCACAGGAGGAATGTTCAAAAACAGTCAGAAAATATAGTCTGGGGGCGATTGCTCGACTATTTATGACTATTTTTGAATACTGTTTGATCATTTTTCAAACATTCCCTCCAGAATCCGCCTGAAGGGGGACATGCCCGACCTAACTCTGGGCCTCCTAGATGGGGTCCGAGTAGATGGGGTCGCAGGACTTCGCCGCATCGCCGATGCATCGGCGAGGCGGCTCGATGTGGAGCTCGATTTGCTTCACGCCGACGTCGCCGATGCATCGCCGAAGTCGCCAGTGCATGGTCGATGCATGGCCGATGCATCGACCGCGCATCGCCGATGTATCGGCGATGCGGCGAGATTCTCCGACCCCATCTACTCGGACCCCATTTGGGATGGGAGGCCTCTAACGGGGAGGCGGGTCCTGAGGGAAACGAGTCCTGAGGTTGTTCGCGGTTTTCGGGATCTCGTGGCCCTCTACGGGCCCCGGGACTGTGAGAAGACGACTCAGGATCGAGAACTCGTCCTGGGGGAAGGCCCCAGGTTCCAGGACCCGTTTCCCTCAGGACCCGTTCCCCCATGCGAATTTGAGACGGGGGTCAATGCAAGTGGGGGTCAGCCAGAGCACCGGATCTTGCAGGATCCTGCACGGCCAGGGGTGGATTGACCCGGGCTAGCGCACAGGATCCTGCATTGACCCCGATCAGCCCCGTATGAATGACCGCGGGCTCAGGTTTGTCGAGAATTCTATCGTCCACCGTTCGCTCCGACTGGCCCTGATCAGGAACGACGCAAAGTGGTACGCGTGCATGAACTCACATTGGCCTCAGGAGAGCGCATTACGTGATCGCTCGTGGCATGAGAGTCGGCCTCGCGAACTGGGGGCATATTCATGCACGTGGCTGAGCGCGTCCGTCCTTTTGGGCTTCCTGCCCGAAAGGGTTTGTGTCCTCGTCTGCTGGGAGCGCCGTTGGTCGCTGCTGGCCCCGACAAGCCTTGCATGAACGCGCTCGACTCGGCTTGTCGGGACTTGCGCTGGGAAGCCACTAGCGCCGACTGCCGCGCCCTCCCCAAAAAAAACGGTCGTTTGCTCAGTGATCGCCTGGCATATGGGTCGGCCACGGTTATCCCCGAGAGGCCGACAAGGACTACATGCCTTGTACGGCCGGCAGCTACGTCGACCGCGACGGCTGGCCTCAACCAGTCCCCTGCCCTGGATCTCTGGGCACGCGGTTGGCCGTGGTTTGCTTCGGCTTGCTTTCAGTTCCTCCGTGTCCACATTCTTCAAGAGCTCCCACGAGGGCGCGAAGTTATTCGCGCTTCGCGCTTCGCCGTCCTCCTTCCTCCTCCCCCTCCTCCTCGTCCTCCTCTTCTCCCCCTTGGGGGGCGGCGCGAGAGCGCGAAGTTATTCGCGCTTCGCGCTTCGCGCAGCGCGAAGCGCGAACTTAGGAGCCCTTGCTTATCGTGTGCTTCCTTTTGGTTCGAACGAGCACCTTTATCGTGCACTGGCAGGCGGGGGGGGGGGCTTTGCAGCTCCCCCACCTCGCTGCCGGCAGACGACGACGGCGAGCACCGGCGCCCGAATACGACGACAGCGACGACGAAGGCGGACGACGGACGACGGACGACGGACGACGACGAGGATGACGACGGACGACGACGAGGAGAACGACGTCGACGTCGACGACGACGGCGACGGTCAGACGGACGGACGGGCTGACGGACGACGGACGATGTACGATGTACGATGGTTCATGGATGATGGGCGATGGACGACGAACGACGACGACGGGGATGACGACGGACGACGGTCGACGACGACGACGACGACGACGACAGGGACGACGACGACGACGACGGAATATCGACGACAAGGACGACGACGAAAGACGACGACGACAGACGACGACCGACGACCGACGACCGACGACGAGGACGACCAGGACGACGACGAACGACGGACCACGCCGACGACGACGACGGACGACGGACGGACGACGACGACGACGACGAAGGCGGCGACGACACCACGACGGCGGGGGCGACGACGAAGACGGCGACGACGACGGCTTCAATGTCCCACCCGCTCGACCAGACCCGCCCGTTAGGGTCCACCAGCCCGACCCGACCCGCCCGGCAGGGTTCATGCGTGCCGATCGGATTACGCATCATGCTTCAATGTCCAGCCTGCTCGACCCGACTCGCCCGCTGGGGACCGCCCACTCGACCCGACCCGCATGTTGGGGCTCCTACGTGTGAAGTGGATTACGCACCACAATTGATGGCCCCGCCCACCCGACCCGACCCGCCCGCTAGGGTCCGTTCGTTCGCGTGCTTACGTGCCAATTCCTCCATGCACTGCACTGTAGAATGTTACGCCCGCCCCCGCCCGACCTGACCCGCCCGTCGGGGGCCCGCCCGCCCGACCCGACCCGCCCGTTTTGGGTTCTTGCGTGCCAGCCTGATTACGCATCGTGGTTGAACGCCCCGCCCGCCCGACCCGACACGCCCGTTTGGGTTCTTACGTGCCACATTGATTACGCATCATAGCTGAACGCCCCGCCCGCCCAGCCCGACCCGCCCGTCAGTGACCGCGCGTGCAAATTCGACGGCGCAGGATGCTTTTGAAGTCCCGGAACCCCGGCTCGACCTGCCCGTCAGGGTCCGCCCGCCCGACCCGGCCCGCCCGTCAGGGTTCTTCGGTGAAAATTGGATTACGCATCATATTTGGATATCCCGCCCGTCCGACCCGACCCGACCCGCCCGTTCGGGTCGGCCAGCCCGAAGACCCGCCCGCCCGCGTCGTCATCGTCGTCGTCGTCTTCGCCGTCGGTCGTGCCCGTCGTCGTCATTGTCGTCGACGTGGTCGCCGTCGCCGTCGCCGGTGCCGTCGTCGCCGCCGTCGTCGCCGTCGTCCTTGTCGTCGTCGCCGTCGTCATTGTCGTCGTCCGTGAAGTTGTCCTTGTCGTCATCGTCGGTCATCCCCGTCGTCCGTCGTCCGTCGTAGTCGTCGTCGTAGTCGTCGTCGTCGTCGTCGTCGTCGTCGTCGTCGTCGTCGTCGTCGTCGTCTTCGTCGTCTTCGTCGTCCGTCGTCCGTCGTCGTCCGTCGTCCGTCGTCCTTCGTCTGTCGTCCGTCGTCCGTCGTCCGGCGTCCGTCATTCGTCGTCCATCCTCTGTCCTCCGTCGTCTGTCGTCCGTCGTCTGTCCGTCTGTTCGTCCGTCCTCGTCGTTTTCGTTGTTGTTCGTCGTCAGTCGTCGTCGTTGTTCGTCATCTGTTGTCGTCGTCGTCCGCCCGTCCGCCCGCCCGCCCGCCCGCCCGCCCGTCCGTCCGTCCGTCCGTCCGTCCGTCGTCCGTCGTTTGTCATCCGTCGTCCGTTTTCCGTCGTCTGTCCGTCCGTCCGTCCGTCCTCGTCGTTTTCGTTCTTGTTCGTCGTCCGTCGTCGTCGTTCGTCATCTGTTGTCCTCGGCGTCGTTGTCCGTCCGTCCGTCCGCCCGCCCGCCCGCCCGCCCGCCCGTCCGTCCGTCCGTCCGTCCGTCGTCCGTCATTTGCTGTCCGTCGTCCGTCATCCGTCGTCCGTCGTTCGTCCTCCGTTGTGCATCGTTCATCGTCCGTCGTCCTTCGTCCGTCGTCCGTCGTTCTTGTCGTCGTCCGTCGTCGTCGTCGTCGTCGTCGTCGTCGTCGTCGTCGTCGTCGTCGTCGATGTCGTTGTCGTTGTCGTTGTCTGGCGCCAGTGTTTGCCGCCGTCGTTTGCCAGCAGCGGTTAGGGGGGCTTGGGGGTGTTGAGAACCTCTCCACCAGAAGGGGAGGATTTGGCTCTCGGGGTCCCGGGGGGGGATCAGGGCTTGGGGGAGTTAGGGTGGGGATGGGAGGGGTCGGGCGGTCTCTGTTTCTTTGTTTGTTGGGGGGAAATGGGGGGGTTCGGTTCCGGGGATCTTCCCTGAGATGTATTTTTCAGGCTGGTCTTTTGTCCATGCCAGGCTTGTTGGATTGAGCAGTTCGCTGGCGCAGTACAGTAGAGGCTCATGCCAAGAACCACCCAGCTTGCCTCCAGGTTGCCCTAGGTTTCCTGGGTTTCGATAGTTTTGCGATGGAAAGCGCGACGTCCCCACGCCAGAAATCAAGGGAGGTCCTGGGGTCTCAGGGTTGGGTTTCTTGTGGGAGGTTTCTTGTGGACTGGCCTCCACTGGAGGGGGGGGGTCGGGCGGTCCTTGTTTGTTTTGGGGGAATTGGGGGGGTCGGTTCCAGGGACCCTGCCTGATATGTGTTTTTCAGGCTAGTCTTTGGTCAATGCCAGGCTTGTTGGACCGAGCAGTTTGATGATGGCCGCCCAGGCATAGAAGGAAACCCGAGAAAGCGCTGCAGCAAAGAGGCCTGCCTTGAGACCCCCCAACTCCCACTGACCGTGGGCTGGGGCAGGTGACTGCTGACGCCCCCGGGCAGCGCCACCAGCCACTGAGCGGGGCCGGATGGCGGGGCCAGAGGCGATGATCTAAGGTCGATGATCCTCAGGACGTGTGTTAGCCCAATGTGTGTGTGTGTGTGTGTTACCCCCTTCAGCCCAACCAGTAGATCATTACATCGCCTGCGTCGTATCGAAGGGCCTCGATGGACAAACACACGTTGGGGCTAACACACGTTCTGAGGATCATCGATAAGGGCAGCGATCGCTCGTTAAGGCCGATTGGAAAGCAGATCAGGCGGACTGAAATGGGTACAGAACGAGTGGGACGAAGACCGGCGGCAGATCTTGCCTGTTTTGCAGAAAGGCGTGTTGTCGGTTTCGCTGCGGCCGTTTTCTTTTTGTACCGAGAGTAGTCGCGCGCCCGATGGTGGTCGCCGTCGGTTTGGGACAACATTTGCTAGTCGGCATCGTCCCTATTCTTTCAGTCCCCATGTCAAATTTCCAGAGGAGTATTGTGGCCATCTTTCAAGTTTCTCTCCACTGCTGCAGTGGTTGCAAGGGCCCCTCTCGATACGATTGCCCGACACGCCGCTCAGGACCTTCCGGGGTGGGGTCCACAGACGGATGGTTGCCCGTACAGGGGTCCACGCACAGTGTTCCACACGCAGGGTCCCGCACACATTGTGACGCGAATCTATCGATCGGGGTCCATTGGCGCCAGAAACTGCGAGCCGCTCTCGCAGCCCATGTTTCTAGGCCCTCTTGCCCCCGAATCGCCGGGCTTGGCAGCCTGTCTAGGGGGAGCAAGCAAAGAGTGCGCTCCGGCACCCTGGCGCATCGGCTCTGACGGCAGGCCGCTGTCGGAATGCCGCGCGCGTTGCCCCGGCGGCGAGGATTGTTGTGATGCTTCGACTTGGGGTTTCTGTAGCAACTCCTGTCGGGCGGCGAAATCTGCACATATCCACTGTTCCCTGGCCAGGCCCATCCTGACCCCAGGAGCTGAGTATACGCCCTCCTGGCCGAGCCCGGAGGGCGTGGCTGCTGAATTCGGGCTGGGCCTGGCCAGGGAGCAGTGGATATGTTCAGATGTCGTCGCCCTATCTTGTCTTGCTACAGTAGTCCGAGTGTCAATCGTCAGCGCTTCTGGAGGTGACCGTGCCGTGGATGTCCCTGTCCCCGCTTTAGAAGGCGGCGCGAAGCAAAAACATGCCGCGGAGTCAAGCGTGGCGGAGGAGGAGGAGGAGGAGGAGGAGGAGGAGGAGGAGGAGCTCAGGACAAGCCAAACATGTACCATCGTCCACTGACTCTTCCCGCCCTCTGCCGCCGTCTATGTTTGCCATCTCCCTTGCGCTAACCGCTGCGGTGATACGTTCTACATCGGCACCCCTCCAATGCTTGCACGGGTGGGTGTAATCACGCGATGGCCAAATTATCTTTGGTACGTTTCTCCCGCTTTTTCACCTCCCTGCTTCTGTCCACATCCTTCTCTTCCTCCCGTCCGCCCTACCTGGGTCCGCTCCGTCGCTTGTACTTCTCGTTTTTCGTGCATGCCTTGCCAGGGGCCGAAAGCTCTATCGTTTTCGGAATGCGTATTTCGCGGGTGCAAGGTGCCTTCCTTCTACAGCTCCAGCAAAGTTGTCGCTTGCCGAAATGACAGATTGTGGAGCCCCAGATCTGAATAGGGGGCGAGGCGGAGGCAGAGCTCTGAATCCGAAGACCTGGTGGTTGGTTCGGGGGCCACACAAAAGGTAGATGATCGTGGTTGGGGGGAAGCTCCGAATGGGTATGGGGGTGGTAGCGTACCCGTGTGTGCTCTTGCCCCCCATTTCTCGGCCTTCAGAGTTCCAGCCCTCACGGTGATCTAATCGGCGACGTTGCCACAGCACACTCGACCGAAGAGCACATCAGCGGGCGGAACCTTTGCCAGTTGGCATCCTGGGGGCCAGGAGTGTCTGCATCGCATTGCCCTGCGATGGTCGTTTGCACAGATCGTGCGTGAGCCTAGTGCTCTGCTCCATGCAGCTTGCGCGCAGCCGTCGATGATCTACGATCCTGTTTGTTTGCCCGTCTTCGCGGAAGGCGTCCCAGCTTGGACACAGAGCACTGCTCGCACTATTCTGCCTCACCATCTTTGAGACGCCTTCTTGGTGCCTCTGCACGATTTTGCCATTGCTTTGGTTTTACGGGGCACCTGGATGTCGAGGAGAGATCTGTTGATGCAGCCAAAGAGCACGAGGAAAGACATACGAGAGGAATCAATCAGGAATCACCTTGCAGCGGCAACTGCACAGATCGCATGGAAGCCGATGGATTGAACGTGCTTAATGCAAGGAGTTTTGACATGTTTCAGCATCTCTGCCTGCGCTGTTCTGATTTGGCTCCGCTTCACAGCCAGGTGTGATACGGAGAACGACTTTTTCGTTTACACGGCCCTTCTCTGTTCACGTGTATGTTAAGCTGCCTCGATGTTCTCAAGCACGCGGTAATTTCATAGTGTGTTAGCGCAACAACAATTCATTGCAAGCGTTGGGAGTATGCATTTCAGTGCCGTTAGTGTCTTTGGTGGTTACGTTTTGATACGAACGCATTGTCCTTACCTCTGAACTCGTGCCTCCCACGGTATGTGCTTCAGGTGTTTGGCGTACGGCAGCACGTGAGTTACGCCGCCGTGATGATTCATTATTTGTTTGTTTTTGTATTCTTATGGTTATCCGGAAAGGGGAGACCCCCGAACCAAACAGAAGGCACCTGGATCTCCGGGTCCCGCGATCCTCTGGACGCTCGTGCCCTGGCCCCCAGGGCTTCCCCAGACGGCCCCAAGACCCCAACGGGCCTCCATATAGGAAAGCTTTCCGAATGGCCCCGACAATGGTTCCAAGATGCATCGCATGTGTTGTGGCGTGGCCATGCAGCATTGAAGGGAAGACCGAAGAAGCTTGGCGGGTGCTCTTGGTGTTTCGGGCTTGCATGGGCCGCTGTCCCCGCCTTGAGATTGCACGCCCTGTTAGCCGTGGAGCCACGCCAGTAATGCTTGTGCGGTCACAGGCCTCAGCCATGGGCCACTGCGCAGTGCGGCCTCGCGATTTCCGCCCAGAATTGGCGGGAGCACGGTGGCTTCAAGCCGCATGCCCTCTTGAGAATCAGGGTGTCAGAGTTGGGACCCATGTCTGTGTGCTGTTGTTTCTCCCCCTGCCCCTACGAAGGCACCTACTCAGCGCTGCCGGGTCGACGGTGTCCCGGAGGAGCCTTCCCCACCTCCTTCTTTGACTTGCCATTTCCAAGTTCTGGCTCGTGTCTCAGCAGGGTTCTGCTGGCCGTCTTCGCCTGCCTGTCCCCCCCCCCCCGTCGCCTCCAGTTCCTCCACCCCTCCCGTCCCGCGCTCTTGCTCCCCCCCTCCCCCCTCCCCGCTCCTCCCAGCCCCCCCCCCTCCGCCTCCCTGCCCTCCTGCCCGACCGCTCCTCGTGGCGCGCGGCCGCTGCGGCCGCGACGAGGCTTGCGATGTCATGGGGCGAAACAGTATTGGAGGGGCTGCGCCAGAGGAAGGGCCGCGCCCCCTGCCACGGCTAAGGAGCGCGGGTTGAGAGGGCGGTTCCTGTTTCGGCCGGCCTCTCCAGAAGCGCCCCGCTCGTGCCCAGAAAGTGTGGGCCATGGGTACATGGCTTGCATGGCTCGGGGGACAGGCATACACGGAAAGGACGAGTTCGTTTCCCGCTCATGGAGCTTGAAGCCCCATCGGCGTGTTCTCCGCCCTCGCTTCCCCTCCCGCTTCCCTCGTCTGCCTCGCTCGCGTTACCTATCTCGCCTCCTTGGCGCTCCTCCCGATTTGATGCTTCCTGCTCCCTCCTCCTCCTCCTCCTCCTCCTCCTCCTCTCTCGTGTCTCCTTTTTCTCCCTCCTCCATTCTCCCTCCCCTCTTCCCCCAGGCTCCTCCCCCTTCTCTTCGCTCCTCACTGCTTCCCCCTCTCATGTTCCCCATTTCCTCCTTCCCCTGACAGTCGGATGTCATCGTCAGAGCTGCCCGGAGCTCTGCCCCATGGACCGGCTTTGCCCCTGCCATCGGCCGCTCGCCCAGGCAGTAAGTGTCACGGGTAGCTCCTCCTGTTTGCGTCCGTCTGTATCGGGAGTGGACAGACCTCCTACCCTGACACGTCGATTAGTGAATTGTCCGTTTTCGGTTCTCGAGAGGGCGCCGCGGCCGTCATTTTCCAGGCTTGCGCCCGCCAGATATGGGCCCGAGGTCGTTTTCACTAAACCACGTTTTACTAAAGGGAGGTTTGTCCATCCCCGACTGTAAAGGGGGGCAGGTTCTTGCCCGCTCCAGCTGGCGCGAGCTTACTCGTCTTCGCTGTCCGCTCCCATCTCCTGCTCCTCCCCCCCAAATCTCTTCTTCATCACTTTTATGCCAGTGCCCTCCCAGGATAGCTTATTGTTGTCGAACTTGCCGTACATCCCTCCGGGCTGGAGCGTGATGATCGAGGCCATCCAATGATGGCCACGACGATTAAAGAGAGTTCATGAGTATGAAGTGGGTCATGGAGTATTTGATGAGCATGTTGATGGCAATGGGCATGGCGTGAGCGAGGAACGATATCAAAGGTATATTAAGTGTGAGGCAGCCGAATCGAATAGGGGGCTCAGCTTGGGGTAGGAGGTTAACGTAAATGCTCCGCGAGCTGGGCAATCAAAAGTACCATGACCCCCTCGGGTTCCTCTCTCTCTTTCTCTCTTTTGACCACGCGTCTTCCACTAAGAGAGCGGAGAGTTCCCGAGATTTTGCCCATGGGGGGAGGGGGAGAGTGCAGTATGGGGGAGGGAGAGGGGTCGAGGAGGGCTGGAAGGATGGGGAGGGCGGAGGGGGACCATGGAGCCGCCTCCCAAATTGTGTCGGCAGCCCCTGTCCTATGGTGTGGGCTGAGGGTGAGCTCCAGTGCCTCGGAGGCCGTCTTGGGTGATGTCTGGACCCCTTTCGGGGCTCTCTTGGAGCCATCCGGAGGCTTCAAAAGCCTATCGAAAGCAGAAGTGCGAATGACAACCCTGTCCGTTTGAAGCATTTTGGTCGCTCTGGGGCCTTCTTGGGACGCTCGGAGGCCACTTGGAGCCATCTTGGGGCCGCCTGTTAGCTTCTTGGAGGCATGCCGTATGTCGTCTTGAGCCAACTGGGGTCATCTTGCGCCATCTTGAAGTCCATCCTGAGACAGTTGGGGTTCTTTTGGGCCATCGTCGAGACATGCAGACCCGACATGATGCCTTGGCGATCTCAGGACCCCCGCCCCCCCCCCGCCCCTGAACTGGACGTTTGACTTCTGGGGAGCGGGAAGATGAGGAGCGGGCAATCTAGGCGCGCTCGTGCCATATCTGTCATCCTACCCCTCCCAAGCACCTTTGTTGTATCCGTGGGGGTGTCCTAGGGGACTTTGATCCTCAACATTGCTTCATCTTGTGGTGCGCAATCGAAAAAGGGGGCTTGGTACATTGGAGGTGGTGGTGGCCGATGAGCAGGATGAGCAAGAGGATGGGGAGGATGTGGAAGGATGAGGTGGGGGATCAGCAGCAGCTGGACCCGGAGAAGTAGCAGACGCAGGAGGAGCAGGAATATCAGCGGAAGGCGGCTGAGAGCGGAAACAAGTGGCGCGGCGACGTCGAGGAATGACAATGATCCAGAAATGCGGCCCGCGATGGGGCGAGAGCGCCATTCTGCACGACGGGGGCAAAACACTGATGCTGACATGTGGCCACCGCTACAGCGGGAGCACCCTTCCCGATCGAAACATTACATTAAACACAATTATTGTGAAGTCCTGTGTGTCTGTGTGTGTGTGTTGCAACGGGGCTCCTTTTGTGCTTACAATGACGTGTGTGTGTGTGTGTGTGTGTGTTTGTGCATGTGTGTGTGTGTGTGTGCGTGTTTGTGCATGTGTGTGTGTGTGTGTGTGTGTGTGTGTGTGTGTGTGTGTGTGTGTGTGTGTGTGTGTGTGGGGGGGTATGTAGTTTCTCGTCGCTCGTCGTACTGCACCTCTACTTGTCCTGGGCTCTCGCCCTTCCCCCCTCCGCAAACTGGCTGCCCGCGCCCGGGTAAGCGTATGGCGTGGTCGATTCGGCATTTATCTCTGCACGCTCCGAGGGGCCCGCGGCGCGCGCGCCAGCCCGTTCGGTGGCCTTCTCCGCCGCGACGTTGCGCGCGAGGACGCGACCGCGTGCGCGT